GTCTCCCCTCTTTCGGCTTCTGGAAATTCACTTCCTTTCTATCTCATTATGTATAAAATAGGTGAGGAAGTGGCCCCTCTCAACAATAACATAGTTCCGCCCCCTGACAACAGCTATATAATTCCTTGAAAAAAAATAAAAATTAACAAGGCTATATAGCTCAAATAGCTGCCATACATTTTCCAGACTATATAGCGATTATATTAAATAATAACTGTTACATAGTCCTTTAACCTCAATCCCACCTTAACTACATAGCAGTTTTTTAAATAACCGCTTAATATAAGGCACTATATAATCCCTTTTTTTAGTAGTGTATTAATTTTGAAAGTTTGAATATTAGAGACATATTAGTATTTTGTTTAAATATTTTATTCAGTTTGAAGTTTTATTTAGTGTTATTCCTTTTGAAGGTTTAAATATTGTTTTGAGAAGTTTTAGTAATTTTGTTATGACTTGTATGTATTTTCCAAGCAATGACGAAAAAAAATTTATATGCCCAACTTACTGCCTTATAAACCTTAATGTGTATGGATTAGTGAATTGGTAATGTTATTTGGACTTTTTAGTCACACCCAATGGTTACAATTTCAGGTGAACGAGTGTTACAGATTAGAGGAGAAGCACTGGAGACATACCTATAATCTACTATGTCACTTTTGTGTACTTATATTATGTGCGATTAGGTAGGGTGTCATATTTTGTTGTTGCTTTGATTTGAGTATTTTATTTATTGTTCACTAGGAAGTGCTAGCAGTTGGCCTGAGGTCTCAAGTTATTGCATGTAATTTTGATTGCAAAATCACGATTGATTTGGGAAAAGGCTGATTTTGATTGTATTAGACTTTTGCATGTTGTTATGAATTATTGGGCTCAAGCTCCACCTATGTTCTATTGCGGCATGTAATTAATGTTTTGTAACCTGTACAGATTTATGGCTAGTTCTAAAAGGGGCTTTGGCATGTATTTTTAGTGATTGTGAATTATTTTAATATGATTTGTCTTAATTACTGTTGTTAAATCTTTTCTATCATAATAGGGGTCTTTATTATGGTTTACATATATTATTAATAATTTTCTTTTCAACTAGGTTCTAAATGTTATTTTCATTATTTTTCTACTATGGTTATACTGAAATCTATACACATAAATTTTTTATAACCATGGTAGACTTGTGATTTTAATTTTATTCTTTATTGCCATAGTTAGCTATTAATAATGAGGTTTAAACTTTTCTATTATGATAGTATAAATTAAAAGTTTATTTTTATTGGGCTTTTTGGCAAGTGTTTTTGGACTTCACATGCCCTAAGCCTAAGTGTTTGATTTAAAAGTGATTCCATTTTATTTGTTGGACAAGGTTTGTTTAAAAATACTTAAGAAAAGGGAGAATTTTAGCTAAGGACTAAAGATGTGACTTAATTATTAGTGAGTCTAAAAATTTTGAACTTTTAGTTCAATCTAGGAGGATTGAAGTGGAAATAATTTTAACAATAAAAAGACTAAAGTACCCTTTGCTTGTTAATTTTATCCAAGATACATAACATTAGCTTTTAATTTTTTTATTTCATTTGTTAATTTACTAATTTATAATTTATAATTAATGTTAGTAAATTAAAAAGTAAAGTTAGTAAATTAATAATTGATGTTACTGGTTGTAATCAAACAATTGATTGTCAAGTCTTGTATGATTATTTACACATCAAGTCATGTAATTTACAACTCATATTGATAAATTAACAAGTGGAGTAAGAAAACTAATAATTAATAATTTTGTATCTCGAACAAAATTAACATGAAGGGTACTTTGGTCAGTATTTTCATTATTGAAATTTTTTCTTCTTTAATCATTTTGAATTGAACTAAAATTTTAAATTTTTTTAGGATTCACTGATAATTAAGTCATATCCTTGATACTTAATTGAAACTCTCCCTTAGAGAAATTTGTGTTGAAAGTAGAGCTGGGAATTCAGGTAGACTATACCTATTCGGGCTTGGCTTGAATAAGTTCGACTCTAATAGGCTTGAACCCGAACAAGCTCAACTTTCTAAAAAATCTGAATAGTCAAGCTCGGCCTGAATTCCTTTAGGCATCGGGCTTTAATTATGTTTATTTTTAAATTATTTTTAATTAATTTTTTACTTTAAAATTAATTATTTTTATAAAAAATATAAAATATTTTTTTTGATACTTAAAATAATATATAAGACTCAAATATATAGTATTTTAGTATAAAATGACATAAAACTTAAAGAATCAATTAATATTTAATATATTATATATATTCTTAAAAAATAATTTTTTATTCAAGTATTCGAGACAAGATTGAACTCGATTGGATTTGACCTGAATTTTTTTAGGCCTATTCGGGTTGAATAGGCCCAAACATAAAAAAGTATCTTTTTTTTAAAAAACCTAATCCTAAATTTTTTTCAAACGGGTTAGGTTTAAATTATCAATTTTACTTGAGAGTCTGATCTGGGTTACTTTACCTCTAAGCACAATGCTATCATTGCAGGTGCAGGGAGCACAATCTTGTTTGTGAGTGGACATTGGGTTGTAAGCTTGTAGGTACTTGGTACATGCAGAAATTTGGTTAGGTGTAGTAACATGGAAATACAACAAATTAAATATACCTAGAGAGTGATAATGAATACTACTCTTATTTTTAAATATAAAAAACTACCTTATATATCTTTATTTTTTATTACAAGAAAAATTATAATTTTTAAAACGCATTAATTATATTTCCTCCAAATTATCCCTCATAATGGATAGTATCATTAAATTAGAGAAAAAAAATAAACATTAAGTACGAAGACATTTTAATTCAAATATTTTAATTTCAAACATAATTATTATTAACTATTTTTTTAAAATTGTATGAGTAGGTTGGGATTGTCCTATATTTAAAAAATGAGGGGGAGTATGTGATCTATTTCATTTAACAGGATATAACGCCTACTAACAATCACTATCAACTAGTTCCAAGTTCAACAATCAAGCATTTACTTTATCAGACTGGACAGTCCACTTGCATCATGTTTATTGCGCAGCTAATATGAGTAATTGTTTCTTGGCCAAATAAAATTAATATTTAGCTCAAACAGGGCCAAATCGCCAATTTGGATACATAAAAATAGAGATAATAAAATTTTTATTTTCTCAAATTTATTTCAATTATCAATTTGATTTCTTAAATTTATCTTAATATTGATTTGGTTTTTATTATTTAAAGAAAAAATAACACTATTAAAATAGGATAACATAGATAACGTACTATTAAAGCCGCATGGGAAACAGGACACAGAAAAATTATCCTTGAGTCTGCTTCTATGGAAGCACTTGGTTATGTGAATGAGGCCAACTTGATACGCATTACGACAGTAGGATTATTGAGGAAATCTAGAACCTGATGAAGAGAGAGTGAGAAGTCAAGTTACGGCACATCCTTCATGAAGGAAATGTGGTGGCTGATCATTTAGCTAAGCAAGCTATACAATTACGGCCTGGGTTACACATGTTTTATATTCCTACTCCAGAGGTTGCTAGCTAGGTTAATTGGTTTAGATTTAAATAATCCCCCCAGCCCTAAACTGGGTCTTTGTCTATTAAAAAAAAAAAGATAACATGCTATTATATTGATGGTAAACATATAGATTATTTATGAGAAATACAACTATTTATTTATGTGAGAAAAACAAACTTAAAGATTTTTTAAAAATAAGAGAACAAGGTGCACTATGAGGGACTAGATTGATAAAAATTAGACTGATTTGAAAGCCAATTTTTTCTTATTTAGCTGCATATGTATGCTAAGTTATCAATACACTTTGACACATTAGATTAATTTAAAAGTTAATTTATATTTCTTGGGCCAGAAAAAAGTTAATTTAGATTTCAAAACTCAAATGACTAATGTGATAATTTTGAAAAAATATAAGAAACTAAATTAATAAAAATTAGGAAAAATTAATTATTTGGTTCTTATAATTTTGATTCAATTGTAACTCAATCCTTTAACTTTGACTCGTTATAACTTAATTATTAAAGTTTTGACTTGATTATAAATTAGTCCCTGAAATTTGCCTCTTACAATTTAGCCCCTAAAGTTTCAACTTCTAAAATATTGGTTCTTATATTTTAGAAAATAAAATTATAAAGATTAAAAATATTTTAAACTTTTGTTATTTATAATATTTATAAAGATTAAAAGAGTTTAATAATTTAAAATATTAGTAATAAATTTTAAAATATTTTAAATCTTTATAATTTTATTTTTTAAAATATAAGGACCAATATTTAAGCAGTTGAAACTTTAAGGATTAAATTGTAAAAGGCAAAGTTCAAAGACTGATTTAAAATTTAGTCAAAACTCTAGAGATTGAGTTATAAAAAGACAAAATTTAAAAACTAAGTTATAATTGGGTCAAAACTATAAAGACCAAATGATTAATTTTCCTAAAAATTAAACTTGAGAAATCAAATTGCCAACCAATTCAAACTTAATGGAATGAAAGTTTCATCATCACATAAAAATATATGAATGTGGATCAAATCTATATCAAAATCCATTTCTTATCATGAGTCCTCTATAATTTCAAATTTCATCCACACTCTAATTATTTCAAATTTCAATCATTCAAACTTTTTCATTCTTTTCCCATTTTCACTATTGGCATGACATTTGCCATTGTTAGCACATCTATTACTCTCACCTCTTCTCTCCTCTCGTTCACATCTCTCACCGATTAAAGAATAAAGATATATCGCTATTCCCAAATCCTTTGTTTTCTCTTGTAAATCCATCAATCAAACACAACCTCAAGCAATAAGAGGATAAGGGACAACAAATGAAGGATTCCGGTTGAGAGAGATGCTCAGAATCATTGATTCATGATGGATTGTATGGGTTGTGTACATTATCGATCAGTGTGTGTGAGGATAAGGGACAACAAATGAAGGATTCTGGTTGAGAGAGATGCTCAGAATCATTGATTTATGATGGATTGTATGGGTTGTGTACATTATCGATCAGTGTGCGTGCGCGTGTGACACACAAAATATACGATTAAATAATATTGATGTATGTATATATAAGTTTATTAATTAAACCCACTGGACCAGTATAGACATACAAATGAGCCCCATGAGAAGTGCAGAAGTAGCACCAAGTTGAGTGATTAGCATTCGAGAGTTGAAGATGAAGTCAGTGGCAAGAACATCAACGAGGGCCATGTAAATGAGTATTCCTGCAGAAGCAGATAACAAAACCCCTTCAACTACAAGTGCTGTTTGGCTCTTCTCATCGTACGTCTTTGATATGCCTACTCCAATGCCTATCCCAATTGGAATTGTTAGGCAAAAGAATAGCACCATTATTATAATTGTTTGGCATTTAAATTGTGCCTGAGGGATTAAGAAAAATATATACATCAGTCAGTGAACATGGGTTTTGGCAACCAAAATATACAGCAGTAAATTATTATAAGTAATAGAAAGTCGTGTACAACCTAAGCTAATAGAAGAATTTTGGCGCCCAAAATTAGTCTAATTGTGTTTTGTAATATATTGTTAGCAAAAGTAGCATACTGAGTATCCAAAGATTCAGGTTAATCTCTTAATTTTCTAAAGTGTGGCTTTTCAGTTTTCTAATACCGTTAATTTCATTAACAAAAAAGTGTTAGCATTATATTTTTAAATGCTGACAAAACTTCAGTTTAATTTTAAAAAATGAAAGTAATTGGATTATGAGATCGTCATTTGAAATTTCTTTGTTACCATTTAAATTGTGGTTTCAACATTTTTTAATTAATGAAACTAACGATGATATGATTAGGAGATTCAAAAAACATTTTCTAAAATGAACCGATGTCTTCTGTAAAGTAAAGTGATTAAAAGTGAACTTTTCTTATATTGTTTCATTGCAAATTAAGGTGTTGCAAAATTTTTGTGATAGATTTGTGATGAATTTTCCCTTACAAAATTTTCTGCATAAATTTTTAAATGGATTATTTTTCATTGCGAATTGTCATTTTTTGTAGCTAATATGGAATTATGGATAATGAACACACATGTCGCATTCAACAAACTCATTGCAGTATATGTGAAGACCCACGCAAAATTAATTATAGTGTAAAATATAATGATATCCTCTCTTTTTCACCTTAATTGTAAATACATCTTTTCTATTTTTAAAAATAATTATAGAAAGCTCCATTAAAATTAACAGTTATTAAATGAAAACATTCCTTTTATTTTTAAAATGTTATTTCCATTCACTCAATTATTAGTTGATCGTTAAATTATAGATGTTTGACCAAAATATCCCTTTATAAATATAAATATTATCTAAAAATTATTTAAGTTATCCATATATTTTTACCTTTTTAGTTCATATTTCAAAACTTTTAGTTATGCCAAACTTACTATTTTAGTATTTTTTAAAAAAATTTGAACAAATAAGTTGGCTATAATAATGTTTCAAACACGTATGTAAAAAAATTAATAAAATAGAAATTTAATATAATAAGGGATAAATTAGATAATATAATTTATTTTTATTTTTTTATAATTTTAATATTATATTTTAAAATTTCTTGATTGAATATTGTCATACATAATTATTTAAAATTCCTTAAATTGAAGAGAGAAAATAGACAATTAGATTATAAGGCCAAGTTAATTTTAAATCTTCTACATAATTACACATAAAAAATTAAATATTTTAGAATCAATGGAATATTCTTAGCATTAAAAATTGCACTAAAATATAGGTATTAAAAATAAAAGAGAGGTCTCTATAATTTTGGCAAAAATAGAATGAAGGTTTGTGTATTTTATTCTTAACTATAACATACTGTCTTAAAAATTAAATACAAATAAAATTGGCAACAAAAGAGATGAAGAGTGGATAAATAAGAAAATAATTAAGAATATCATGCAATTAACAAAGATTAGTCCAATTGTTAAAGATTTGACCTATAACTCATAAAATTGTGAGATCAAATCCTATTACTAATATGAGAATCTTGTTATGGGTGATCTATAACTATTTCTATTAAGTACTTAAAAATCTAAGAATATCACGCACGCACGTGCAAGTATTCAACTTCATTGATCAAGCATGTAATTTATATAAATTTAGAGTATTAATTAATTAACATATAATCAGTTATTTTCGTAAGATTAATTAAATTTATAAAAATCAGATATATAAAAGCTAATTAAGTGAAATTAAGTAGGAAGTTAAAAATTTAATTGAAAAAAAGAAAAACTTAATATACCTGTGCAATGCAGCCACCTAGTCCCATACCTTCAAAACATTGATGAAAGCTAAGTGCTGCAATCAGAGGTTTGATGGTGTTAGGACTTCTGGCCGCACCAAGAGACATGCCAATAATCGCTGAATGCACGACAATTCCCACCTCCAAAATCTGCATTACTAATTAATTAATTATTTCGATAATTCCCAACTTCAATTATTTTAATTTAATTTTCATGTTTTATATATAACATCGAAGTTAACACAATTTTTGTCAATTTTTTCCTACAAAATCTGATTTCTCTATCTTTTTTTCCTGAGTCGTCATTGTAGAGTTTGACTAATGAGAGATCGATTGAGGTAAAATATATATATATATATATATATGATGAAAACATATGATAGATAAAACAAAAGCGCCCTCACATGCATCTTGGTACTAGTTAATATTAAACATTATGGCATGAATAGATTAATCAGTTCTCAATCTCAACACAACATTTTAGAAAAACAAAATACAATGGAAGGTTTTGATTTTATGAGTCTAGAATATTATATTGCATGGAGGGTTTAATTTTGGATTCTCCCTCTGGGTATGTAAACATTCTGATATGTTCAAGCATATACAAATAGGCCTACTTTATGTGAGACGTTTGGCCCTTGCGCGAACTATATATAAATGCAGTTGAAATTTAAGGATCTTAATTACCTTGTTTTAAATGTTAGTGTTGTGAATGAGTTCTACCAAACATTATATATATTATTGAAGGTCAAAATACTCTTTAGAAGAAATAAAATATATGGATTTGATCAATTCTATAAATATCTCAAATCCTCTCATCCAATGAGTATTCAATTTACAACCACAAAATTTTATCAATACTTGAAAATTTATATAAAATTATCCAAAAATTCATATATAATTCACATTACAGCCTTGAGCCAACTTTCTAAGTTGCCTAAATCTATGTCCTCCTTGGTAGGGATGTGAAAAGCATTTTCTTTAGTAGTGATTTAATTATTAAATATGTGAAGGTATTATTATAAAATGTTAAAGTAATAGTTATAAATTACTAACAACATAATTCTATACAAATAGTATTAAACTTGTTAAATATGTGAAGTTATAGTTATAGATTGAAAATTAAAGTATTAATTGTATAATTTTGATAAAGAAGTTGTAAATTATTTAATTGATGTAAGGTATTTGTAATATGAACATTATTGTCTTTGTACTTTAATTTTAAATTGTACTCAAGTTTTTCTAACTTTGATTTCTGAAATTTGCATGACTTATTTGTAAATAACTGATTCTTGATTCACACGATCTATATATAATTTTCTCAAAATCTCATACACTAGGAACCATAGCATAGAAATTATTTTTTAAAAAGGAATGATCCTTCCATCTTACATACCTGAGAAACCAAGCCATGCCGAAATATATCCGACGATTCAAATCTCTCTGATGATCCCAGTTCTCCACGATCAGTTTCTTCATCATCATCATTTTCATCCCTCAGAGGCTGAGCCTTCGTCAATTCACACCTCTTATGGTACCCAGTAATCAAAGCCTCCATTATCAACGTCACAGTCGCAGCAACCATGGCAATAAAACCAGACAAAGGAAACTTATCACCCCACGGCTTCTTCTTCTCTGCAACGCAACGATTAACAGTCTCTAGGGCTTCAAATGCATCAGGAAGAACATCAAGAAACCCAGTTGCGAGAATCACACCGGCCGCGAAGGCCTTCATAGTAAAATACAAGAAACTTTCTGGGCTTAAGCTTGACAAGTTCTTCGCAACTATTGGTAGGCTTATACCTATTAGAGAGAAAAAAGTCCCGTAATTAGAAAGTAGATTAAGAACATATAATTATAAAGCATATTTACTTAAGCATGGTTTGACAATACCAACTGTGCTAGCAGCCAATGTTGAAGCTATTGCTATCAGTTTGTACTTCGTTGCCTCTGAAGGTGAAATATTATTGCGATCATCATCTGGTGAGTTATTGTTTTCACAGCTGAGTTGTGACAAGGCCAAGTTTGGTAGAAGAAAGATGAAGATTATTGATAGGCTTAGGAATAATTTGCCTGATGAATTAGGTTGAAACTGTAATGTAGGCATTATAGAAAGGGTTTCTGAAGGTTGTTCAACTGATCATGGAACGATTTAAATTTCAAAGTGGTGCCTGAAACTGAGTAGAAAACAAAGGGAAATTGACAAGGACTGGTTATTAATTACATAGTGATAAATACAACGTAATTGTTATTGTTTATATAATGATATAAAGGAACAATATTGTGCAACTCAATCTGTCACTGATGTTTATGTATGTCCTTTTATGCTGAGGAATATTCGTATGTGTCAACTTTGATATGCTTCGCCGCGAACGATATTATAAATAAATTTATTTTTATTAAAGTGGACAGTGAATTTGTTTCAAATTAATAATAATGTTGATGTAACCATGTTATAAGTTAACAAGGGATACTTGAGAATTGTTGGCAAAAGCGAGTAAACTCATAGTCTGAGTCGCAGCTGAAAATATTGTCTTTAAACGTTATTTCACCACATTAGGTTGATCACACGGCAGCTGATCCTCATGATTAAACAGAGTAAGGACAAAGAACAATGAAAATTCCTAAAATAACTTAGGCAATATCAACACTAATAAAGCAATGGGATAGAGGAGGAGAAAAAGCCCATGATAGAGGGTCTCTATAACAAATGCGGCAAGCATGGCCTTTTATAGGCAAATATCTCAAAGGTTGGGCAATAAAACACATTTGACACAATTAAAAACAATTTCATGTATTAATGTGGTTTAATATATATGATATAACATAAATTTATTTAAATAGAATTTAATATTATTTATTTATAATAATTCTTTTTGAAATGCTCATAATTATTTTATAATATCCAATAATCTCCCACATATTTAAAAAAAAGGAAAATTTTTTGGAAAACTATTTGATGCAAATAATTTTGTGTCTCCGTAAAATAGTTTCCAAAATTTTTAAAAATTGCCCAATACCACATTTAACTCATTCACAATTGTATGCGAGAACCTATTTCTCCTCTAAGCCCATTTACTAGCCCAAGTTCACATCTTAGTATCCATAAACTAAGGTCTCCATTCATTTGAGTAGCATGAGACTTTCCCTTTTGACACAATTGCAACAATCCCCCACATGTGTCGAAAGAATCACTATCATTTGAGTTATTCACACAGAAGATAATCACTTTGAATTTGATATTTTTTGACTTGAACCAAATCTAGAAAAATAAAACTTAGCACACAAAAAAGTTGGTGTAACTTTGTTATTGAACCAATAGATCTTAGTTGTGTATTAGAGGTCTTATTAGTCAGATTATACCCCCAGAATTTCTACTGTTAATGATAGTTTTGTGCATTATCAACAATGCACGTACTTGGTTTTAACAAATGTTTTAGAGATTTTACCACGATCTTATAAGAGTGACCCTACTTCACATTTATATAGGTGATTTCATCAAGTGTATTTGTAATAAATACACCATTTAAAAAGCCAATGAAAATCATTAAGAGCTTTCATTCAGCCTCCAATCAATGCATTCTAGCACTTTCTCAAGCCATAAGAAGGGACATAAAATTTAGTACTAGCAGAACTAACAAGTAACTTGTTCTTACTCATTGAACCTTCTTCATGAGATCTCCAATAACAAAGATTGGGTTGTCATCACCGTTAATTTTAAATTGGCTTAAGTCTCATTCCCCTCGACATTTAAATAATTAATTTCTTCCTCAAGGGTTTAATTTACAGATCTGTCAGACTTAAATCTGATCTCATATAATCAATTGAGACAACTCTCTCTTTTAGCATGCTTAATTGCATCTCAAATGATGTTCATTTGTGCCATTATTTTCTTTACCATGACTATTGCCATTTGGCAATCAAAAATCATTGACATGGCTTGTGTCGGTTTTACTCATAGTAGAATATTTAATAAAAATTTCTCAACAATTTTGCCTCATTACCAACGAACTTCGAAGTAATAAGCTCTAGATCACATGATATTTTATTTGGCTACCAATAAATTTTTTCTCATCTGAATATAAAATTCAATTTCACTACCACAGAAAAGACCCATACTTGATACTTATTTTTTTACAATACTTGACAGTTTTAATCGTCAAGTAAAGGTGTGACATATATCAAAGAAACCTTACTTGATGGTTAAAAACTATCAAGTATTTAGGTAATACTTGATGGTTATTTGGAAAACAATCGTCAAGTATATGAATTAAACTTGCATTCCCCTAAACAAATATTTGATGCTTGTTTCCAAATACTTAGGCTAGTTTTGGCCATAAATACTTAACAATTATTTTGAAATAACTGTCAAGTATTTATGGTATTTTTTTAATAAAGCAACCCCCTACATAAAGATGCAGATATAGATAAAAACAGCTAGCCAACAACTAAAAATAATATAATATAATGAATGTTTTTAATAACATTTATTATCTAAGTAACACTAAAATTCCTATTCATTTAGCATTAAAATCTAAAAAATCCATACTCAACTTATTTACAAACTAATGTTCTAAAACTAAGTGGCCTATCTTATAAAAATTAGCCTAAAAAATGTATATATATACGTAACTAACTATTATACCAGCCTAACTACTATTGCTACCAACATATTGAAAACACATTGGGCTACTTCTTCGAGGACTTCTTTTACATGGGCAACCGTATAATGAATATAGTAAACATCCTTAAAGTACTGTAGGTAAGTCGTCACAATAATTTCAAGTTATTAGGTAGCCAATTAAAATTGGTTAAAATTTATAATTAAAGTATAATTAAATTTAATCTATATACCTTGTCAGATAATGTGGTAGGGGCATGGGTAATAATGTCCTTCATGAACTTCATTAAGTAATAACCACAGTCATTGCTCTGATCTAGCTAGAATGAACATTGTAAAAAAACACATATAAATGAAATTGTAAAATATGAGACAGTTTCTTAATTAAAAACTTAGCCAATTAAATGAATACCTTAACAGGGACCCATTTTTTTTTTGAAGATTTGAATGCCCTCATCTTAGGGAACACAGTCATGTCGGTCGTAATGCGATATAACATCACAGTTCTAAGAAGTATGGAATGAATATGAGAAATATATATGCATGAAAACTAAAAATAACAAGAAATAGTAAGTGAAAAAATCCAACTTACTCGTTAAAAATGTACCACCATATCTTCCCTGTTGCTTGGTTCTCCATTAAGGGGATCGAGATACCATATTTTTAGAGCAACAAGATTAACCACAATAAGCATCCAGTGTCCCTTACCAAGAAATAGCACTTGTTACCAAACAAGTAAAAATAAAAAAAATATTTACTCGTAACAAGTATTAGCAACTCACCCTTGGCAGTAAGGAGCAAGAAATAAAGTATCCTTGTCTGCTCCCCTTTCTTGAAATTGATCTAAAAGCATTTTTGCTTGATTTTCAAGAGCTTTCTTTGTAATATTATTATGGGAGAGATATCATAAGGAATAACCAGCTTGATCTTCGACTTAAGGCCACCAAGAACCATGAATGAGGTATAAATGCAACTTGGGTGCAAGTTAATATGCTTTTATACACACACACATATATAATTCAAGTAATTAACTGATAAATGTTGAAGAATTACCTCAGGTAAAAGGTCATCAAACTTGTGCTCGCCGTATCATGCTTGAGGATTTCATTTAAAATTTCATTCTGAATGACTTTAAATGATGCTCCATCGAATAGACCATCTTCAAAATTAATGATATCCCTGATTGACACTTGACAAATCATCCTCATAACTGAAGCATAAGTCTCAAGAGTATAATAGGCATAGGTATTGGATGTTGCGAAACCATGGTTGACTCTTTAGTATAGCCTGACACCTTGCCCTTTAATTTGCTTTTCCCCCTTGGCTATACAATGAAAAAGTTAGACATATATATTAAAAGATTCTAAATAATTATTCAAATCATATATACCTTTTTCTCTGTTGGCAATGAGTCACTTTGGTGGCTTTAGGTCCTTTATCGACTTTAGTGTACCTACCGTAATAAGGTGGCTAGGCTATGCAATGAAGCTCCTTAACATATCTCCTACTGTTTACATCTCATCAATAGGATAAGATAATGGATACTTAGGGTCGATTGCAACAAGCAAGGAAACCCTAATGCAATCAGGAGGGAAGGGAAGGTTATGGATTGTGTCCCTGGCAATGTTGTACATGCATCTCGTTGCAACTACTTTGTATGAAGGTTCATTTGCTAAATAGTTGTAGTCATTCTCACCATGAATAAACAAATAATGTCAATTTTTCAGACAAAAAATTAGTTAAGTAAATTTAGAAGATAAAATGTATTACCTCGGGCATTTTAACTGAAGGGACTGTACAGCTATCTTTTTCACTGGGGCTAATGTCAGCCAAAAGCCTCCCAAGGATCTGCCTCTTTAATAGCATGTCAATTAACTTCACCTAGGCTTTTAGTTGATGCTTCATAACAGATTGCTCTTCTCTCAACTCTTGGACCTCGAATGAAAAAATTGATGTTCGCTTCTTAATCTTGCTAAAGTATTGCTTCTTTGTGACATCAATGCCGACACCCCTGACGTGACTAGGGTGGTCAGGGGTCCCTAACACTCTAGCCAAGATATGTTCATGCTCAAGAAACTTGCCCTATAGGACTTCCTGAGAGAGGGAATCCTGTGCAAAGTAGAGTTGATTAGGATGAATTTTCATAATCTTTTATTAATTGATAGATAAAAATAACACTTACAATTTTTTTTAGTAACCTCTTTACATGAGGGTTGTCAATAACTCCATCTTTGTTTGTTCATGCCAATGCCCGGAATCTTTAGTAGGATATGGTAACATCCGATCCCTTGGCCTCTACTTGTTTCTGCTCCACACCTACATATCCCAACCTCCCTACTCTGTAAGGGTATTCATTCTTGGCTACTCTCTCCTTATTCTAGGCACTCAGTTCCTTTTAATCAATAACAAAAATATTTTATTAGTACACATATATACATTCAATAAAAAGCATCAAAATTTAAATTTTAGAAACACAAATACCTTGAA